ATATATATATATATATATATATATTATTTTCACTTTTTATTTATAAGATTTAACTTAGAATAATTATTTGTTTTTTTTTATATTAGGCTCAATTTATATTATTCTATATTTTAATTATATTTTAGACTAAAATGCAAGTGTTAAAATGCATTAATTATGAAATCTTTGAAAAGTATGTAAAAAAATATGAGTATTAATTAAGAGAAGTAAATAATATAAAACATGCACTCTAATTGATTAGAAGGTATATGAGTATTAATTAGAAAAAAAATAATATAAAGATAGCTTTAGAAAAAAATACAAATAATACAAATTTATTATTATCAATTAAGTTAACTATTTTCTTAATATTAGTGAATTAGGTAATTAGTCTTATGGGAGTAATATATATGTTACATAAAAAAAACTATTGTTGATATATAGATAAGTTAAGTGGTTGGATACTTGTACTACATAACTAAAGATCAAAATTTGATTCATGCCTTAAATATATAATTCCGACTATATATACTACTTTATTTTTATAAAAAATAATATGGTAGAAATGAGATATATATTTTTTATTAAAAAATGACATAAGATTTAAAATGAGTGTTACTTTATTTACTTAATTATAGTATTATTGTTAATAATAATATACATATATAAATATATATAACAATTTTTTTATAAATCTAAATTTAAACTTTTTAAATAAATAGATTTTTTTAATCATAGGATTAGTCATTACTTCGCCGTTGTGGGGGATCGATCCGCAGACCTCCCTACCAAGTGCAACCCCATGCTACCACTGCACCAACCAACGATTGGTAGGATTATGTTATTTATAGAAGTTAGTACTCTGCTCTGTGTAACTTCCTTTGGAATGTTCCTGATCTTCCATCACTATCTTCAAAACAACTGCATTTAATTTTTTAAAAATATTAATTAAAATAATTAAAGAAATTAATTAAAAGTTAAAGGTTCCCTTTCAAGATACAAAACCGTGCTTAATTGAATTAACTTTACTCTTGTGGTAGTTAGATTCAAATTAAACACATTAAATTTCATAATAATTCATTAGTGCTTCCCACAAAACTTAAAACTACTTCTGTGATTTAGATCTTCTGTTCAGAATTCTATAATTCTAACAATTAGTATCTAAGATGAGCAATAATTTAAGCTTTAAGGTGTAATGACTCCTTGGCAAAGTTAAATAACTTACCTGAAATGTATATTGGATATGAACTGATCTGGAAAGCTATGCCAGCCACATGCCAGCACATGAGCCACATGCCAGCACATGCCAGTCACCATTGTCAACAATGACAACCACCGAATTTCTTTTTCCACAAAGCAACCACCACCCCCTCTGTTTTTCTAAATTGCCAGCTTCTATGATTTGTATTTTCTTTGTTTCTGATTCCTATAAATAGCTATCAATGTAAGCTCTCAAGGCACTGATCAATCAATATCATTTCTATTACTCAATTGAGTATTTTCTCTCTTAGAGAGTTCTTCCTTTGCATTCTGTGCCATTTTTGGTACCAGAGCAAGGTTCCGAAGCTTCCTACGCCTTTGGGTTTATTAGAAAAGAGATTTGGAACTTTCCGGTCGCCGGAAAATCCATTGGAAATTCGGCCAGCCCCGAAAACCCACCCTTAGAGGCCTTTTCTCGAAAAACCGACCCCGTAGAAGCGTCCGGAAGGTCCCAAAACCTTGGGAACGATAGTTTGTATCGCCGGAAACCACCCGGAAAGTCACCGGAAAATTCGTCGGAAAAGTTCGCCGGAAAATTTGACGGTCACCGGAATTTCTGGAGGTTGAAGACAAGCTGACGTCATCGCCACATAAGCGCCACGTCATCTTTAATCAGCCACTCAGGAGACGCCACGTATAAGTGGTCAACGTTGACTGAGAACCCTCATTTGCCACCTCTGACCAACCATATTCTGCCACGTGTCTTCAGTGTTGACTTTGACCAAAGTTTCATAATTTGCAAAAAAGCCCCTGTAAGTTTTGAAATTTCACTTTTACCCCTGTACTTTCTGAATTTATATTTTTGCCCCTAAACTTTCTAAAATTACAATTTAGCCCTTATATTTTCAAAATTCCAAAATTGCCCTTTTCTACAAAAACCATTTTACCCTAACCTAAATTCCCATATTACCCCTTTAACCTCTTAAATTACCCCTTTATTCCTATCCACCTTCACCATGGTTCGTGGAAAGCAAAACGATGTGACCATTCGAGATATCGAATTTGAGGAAATGAAAAGGCAACTGCGAGAGCTTCAAGAAACAGTTGCAAGTCAACGAGTTGAACTTGAACAGCTGAGGAATAAACCAAATCATGAGTCAGACAACAGTGATTCCTCATCTTCTTATTCCTCTAGAAGTCACCAAGTGTCAAGGACACAACAAACCAATCGTTTTCATAATTTCAAGGTAGATATACCTGAATTCGAAGGGAGATTACAACCTGACGAATTTATGGATTGGCTCCGAACGGTGGAAAGAATTTTTGACCTGCATGATGTTCAAGATAAACTCAAGGTCAAAATGGTGGCTATCCGATTGAAGAAGCATGCATCCATCTGGTGGGAGAATCTCAACAAGAAGCGTGAAAGAGCAGGGAAGGAAAAGATCAAATCTTGGGAGAAGATGAAGAAGAAACTCACAAGTAAGTTCTTACCTTTCCACTATAAGCAAGAAAACTATATGATGCTTCACAAACTGTCTCAACAGTCACGCACAGTAGAAGAATATTCCCAGGAATTTGAGTTGTTAGTAATGAAATGTGACCTTAAAGATGACGAGGAACAAAAAATAGTTCGTTTTATTGGTGGACTAAACATTGAAATAGCCAACCAAGTCCAATTACAACAGTACCAGGACTTAGATGATGTAGTACAACTTGCCATCAAAATTGAAAAACAACTCTCCACCACTCTTCGAGACCAACCCTCCACATCCAAATACCCGTTCCGCCCTTCCTACTCTAAAAACCCTTATCAACCATCCTCATCCAAAAATCCTTTTTATAACAGTAAAGCCCAAAACACCCGGTCCAACACCTCCAAACTACCAGCCCAAAATACCAAAAACAACAACTCCAAACCTGCCCCACAATCCAAATCAACTATAAAATGTTTCAAATGTCAAGGCTTTGGACATATTTCTTCCGACTGTCCCAATCGAAAGGCTTTCACCATCATTGAAGAAGAACCACATGAATTATCAGAGGAAGAATCAGAAGCAGACATTGAACCTGTGTATGACGAAGACTGTACGCCTGCCGATCATGGAGAGCTATTAGTGGTAAGGCGAAGTCTGCACACAGCGCCAACAAAAGACGATCACTGGCTCAGGCACAACATCTTCCACACTCGTTGCACCAGTAATGGTAAAATCTGTGACGTCATCATAGACAGTGGAAGTTGTGAAAATGTAGTATCCAACTACATGGTGGAGAAACTCAAGTTGCCAACTCAAGTCCATCCACACCCATATAAACTTCAATGGCTCAATAAGGGAAGCGAAGTCAAGGTTTCCAAACAATGTCTTGTTTCATTTTCCATTGGTTCAAAATACAAAGACAAAGTTTGGTGTGACGTCATCCCCATGGATGCTTGTCACCTCCTCTTAGGAAGGCCTGATCTGGAAAGCTATGCCAGCCACATGCCAGCACATGAGCCACATGCCAGCACATGCCAGTCACCATTGTCAACAATGACAACCACCGAATTTCTTTTTCCACAAAGCAACCACCACCCCCTCTGTTTTTCTAAATTGCCAGCTTCTATGATTTGTATTTTCTTTGTTTCTGATTCCTATAAATAGCTATCAATGTAAGCTCTCATGGCACTGATCAATCAATATCATTTCTATTACTCAATTGAGTATTTTCTCTCTTAGAGAGTTCTTTCTTTGCATTCTGTGCCATGAACTTGACACCACTTGGTCATAAAAGGACTCTGGTGATCAACTTTTCTAAAATTCAAGTTGTTATGCAATGGCTCATGTATTTTTTTTTTTATATCTATAACAGTTATAGTTATATTTCTATTGCAGCCAACCCTATGGGTTGTCTTAGGAGGTTCTATTAGATATTAAATCTTGTTTCCTCAGATAAAATGTGAAGTTTGTAGTTCCATTGATGTTTTGGTAGGCTTTGCATAAGTAGTTTTTCTTTGCTATCTGTTTAAATATATTTTTTTTATCAATTAAATATTTTATTTTGTAAGAATTCTCTCTTTTCAGAGGCAGGGGTGGTGATGGGTTTGGATTTGAAAATTTTATATAGTGAAGGTTTTTGAACTTCCTAGAAACACTTGGTTGTACCTCAGTACATTTTTTTTTTCTTTCAGTATTACCTATAGGCCAATATTGTACTCTTTTATTATTGAAAGTTTATTCCTCACAGACTGATGCTGAGAGACTGTACAAAAGGCTTACCCAACTGAAAAATAAAGATAATGCTCCTCAACGGCATAGACGTGATGGATGTTTGGGACTTTTTGGCCACAAAGTTGATATGTTAGATCATTATGAAAAGACATTGGGAGACATTGCAGATAATGTGAGAATAGAACAAACTTCATTGGCAGGAAAGGTAACTAACTATCATGTCTAGGCATTAATAACCTTCAGGACTTCAGTAATAATTAATTCTGTTTCCAATATGGATTTTTATATCTGGTGTGGTTTACACCCTATCTACAACAGCCAAATAATTGGATAATCATTTTCATTAAATAATCAATTCAAATCAAATCATTTGTAAGTGAAAATATTACCAAAATTGTGTTATAATTTTTCTGATCATTACCTACCCATTTGACACCAGCTTGATGCAGTGGTTGCACAATATTTATACAACTCCATGTCTCCATCTTCAAATTGCGGTTCTATTTTAAAAGAGATTGGAAAAATAAAATATAAATAAGGGAGAAAAATAGGAGAACCAGATACTGGCAACTCCTGACATTAGATGAATGGATTTCAATATATTATCATCAATATAGGAGTTAGTTATCGAGAATATGCCAAATAGGATATAAAGAATATTTAGAAATTTTGCCTCTCGGCAAATTTTGCCCCTTTTTAAGAAATTTTTTCTCAAATTATGTTCTAATTTACAAAATATTGCAAATTTTCCCAACATAAAAAATTGTGATGTATTAAAGAAAATTTTGTCACAAAATTGTCTTAATTGTTACAGTATAAAGGAAAAACTCACAAAATTGTCTTAATTGTGACATTTTTTCTGCATGGGGAGAGTTTATGATATTTTCTAAAAATTGAGGGGCAAGATCTGTGAACAATTGTTTGAGAGTAAAACTTTCATGATTGTAAAACTTTGGTGAAAAATGTGTAATTAAGTCATTAAAGATGTTTTCGGTTTGGGTGTGGAACAACGGGTGCAGGGTACTCGGGCAAAATTTAGATATCCAGGATCACCGTGCGCTAGCCTTTTGAAAGTTATCATAATGAATCAAGGTATATGGCCCATCTGTTTGATTTATAGACCCTTAAGATAGCATTATTCATAACCAACACTTGGGCATCAACATGTTTTGACCAAGAGAGAAATTGTTCACAGTCATTAGCTAGTGTCTCGTTCAATTTCAAAAAAAAGTATATTCTTCTTGACAATCAAACTGTGGCTCCGAATCTTAGGGTCTGATACTTGTAGTCGTAGTTTGATTGTCAAGAAAAAGATACTTCTCAAAATCATTTGGCACAAATTTATCCTGAAAAAAATAAAAGACCAAAATAAAAAACCTTAAAGATATATTCGGTTTGGACGTGAAACATCGAATTCCAAAATTGTCAACCATATGCTGAACTGAAATTTTTTATTTGTCTTGTTTGAAAGACTTAATCTACCCATTTATTGCTCAATGCCAAACTTCAACCAATAAAATCAAACTAGTTGTGTGACTCGTGATCAGGCTTGGTTTTGATTTTGTACCCTTTGCTTTCTCCTTTAAATTATCTGTTGACTACTAGATTTGGATTTTTAAAAGCTTTGTGCATTGATATTCTATCCTACGCTAAATATAATATTTTTTATGGTTAATTTGAAAATCTAATATATCCAGTTGTTTAATAACTGCTTTCAATTTAAAAGGAAGTTCCAGCAGCCTTTGTCTCATTTAAGTCACGGTTTGGTGCTGCAATAGCTTTAAACATTCAAGAAGGTATTGATCCCACAGACTGGATTACTGAGAAAGCCCCAGAGCCTCATGATGTTTATTGGCCTTTCTTTTCTGTCACATTCATTAGAAGATGGATCAGCAAGTTGGTAGCTTATGTTACCTGGAATGTTCTTACAATTCTATTTTTAATCCCAGTTGCTTTAGTACAAGGTCTTACCCATCTTGATCAGTTGGAAACAATGTTCCCTTCTCTGAGATGCATATTGAGAATGTAAGTTGGAAATGTTTCCCGTTGAACTTTTCCTACTTATCATGGTAGATTCAGATCAATATATAAACATTTGTGCATTTGCATTGCATGAGAAATGAGAATTATTTTTCAGCCAAAATTTAAGTGCACATCTTTGGGAAAGACTAATGCCCGTTGTACGGATTTTGCAACTGAAGTACAGTTTCCTAATGTTTGTTTGCAGGGCAGTTGTCAGCCAAGTTATAACAGGATACCTTCCCATTTTGATTCTTCAGATGTTTCTGTTCTTTGTGCCACCTATTATGATCATGCTTTCATCCTTGCAAGGATACATATCATGGAGTCAGATACAAAAAAGTGCATGCTGTAAAGTATTATGGTTTAGCATATGGAACATTTTCCTTGCAAATGTATTATCAGGGTCAGCTCTCTATCGATTGAATATCTTTCTTGAGCCCAAAGAATTTCCCAGAGTACTAGCCGAAGCTGTACCAGCACAAGTAAGAATAATGACTTATTTCATTAGTTACACAAATTTGTGCAATATTTTCTAAAGGTATCACCATGTTGAGGGACTACTTTCCTTAAAATGACAAAAGTGAACTTGATACTGTGAGGAAAATCTTCCATGTTGTAATCTTTCAAGGCTTATCAGCCATTCTCTTTTCTACATGGTGAGATGTTTTTCCTTGTGTACTATATGTATTTTCCTGATGTTTTGAAAAATCATTTTAGTTTCATGAGAAGTCTATAATTTTTTTTTTGTGATGAAGTTATTAAGAGAACAAGAAACCCCAAGAAAAATGATGATAAAAAGACAATGTCAGTTCAAAGGAACTTCCCTTACCTGTCTGCAATAAAAATGAGCTGAAACCTAGAAAGAAGCTAGGAAAATTGTTATATCTCAGAAATGCATGGGTGAGGGAGGATTTGTGACGGTCCTTTGAGAATATTTTATTCCGATATTCCCTTCCAATTTCTAGAAATTTATATTAAATGATTTATGAAGGTTTTGGTGAGAATAAGGAGAATACAACAAACCACTGTTTATTCTGCCCTCTAGCCTATATTGATGGAGTAGAATGTTTGCTTATTGAAGATTATATTTTTCGCTTTCACTTGTTATTGATATTTTTTTCCTTTGATTATAATAGTTATATTCTATTCATGGCAGCTTCAGTGAGTTTTAATTTCAGATTTGTTGCAAGATTAGACATCTTTCTTAAGAAGAGTGCTACAGCCTCCGAAAAGTATCCGAAACATCGGCCGAAAATTTAAAATATTAATATTTTTGTTATTAAATAATTATTTAATTTAATATTTTATAATTTAAATTAATTTTTTAAAGATTCGGAACGTATTTTGGAATACGTTGTTGGAGGTTGTAGAATTTTTCCTTTCTTAAATGTTGAGTTTCTATCTCTCTGTTTTCTTTTCACTCACTATAAATAGTTTTTTATCTACTACTACTTTGCATTGCATGTATTTACTTGTAGGTATTATGTTGTGCATAAGATATTATTGCATGAATTGGAAGATAGGAAATTCATATATTATATTTCATATTTGGTGCAGGCATCATTTTTCATAGCATATGTTGTGGCATTCGGATGGACTAATATAGCATCAGAACTCTTTCAATTGATTCCACTTCTTTACAATTATATTAACATATTTTTTGTTGGAGATAGTGATGAATCTGGTGATGATTTTGAGGCACCATCAATTCCTTACCACAGCGAAATTCCCAGGATTCTTTTCTTTGGTCTTCTTGGTGTTACATACATCATCCTTGCTCCTTTAATACTTCCATTTCTCTTAGTCTACTATTGTTTAGGATACATCATTTACCGCAACCAGGTGTGTAAATTGTTTTTGTTTTTCCCTTTCCCACATATTCATTTATCTTCCTTGTTTGTTGTTTGCTATGTATTTAATATAACATGGCAAAAATATTACCTGTTTATTTTAAGTGGCCACTTAGCAAACTTGAGATGATGCAATTAAATATTATCAATGATATTGATCATAATAAAAGTTTGTCAGACATATGGTGTTACTGTGTAGCAACTAAAACTTAATGATGTGGCTTTTTTTATAGGCTTAATGACACTTGTTGTCACTCATGTTTAATAATTTTGTAAATTTTTCCACCCAACTTTTAAATTTGCACCATTTATCATCCAACTTTTAAAATTTTGTATATTTTATCATTCTATTAGTTGATCGTCTAACATTGTTACTTGACCATTGACATGATCAATCCACATCTAAAATCAATGTGTCATGTTATCATCAATCCACATTATGTCACATCATCAATTCATATCTGTGATATGTCATGTTAGTAATCAATGTATCACATTAGCATGTGCAATGTAAAACAAAGATAAAATGATATTGTACAATAAAATTATCTATATCTTGTGATATCATTATTGTTTGATCTCTTTCTCTTAAACATTTATGTTCTTCAATGGACTAGAAATGGAATCTATAAATGAGACTCTTCTCGGAGAAAATTATTGTATGGGTGCTATGTGTTATCAGTCAACATGTTGTCCACTACTTTCCCTGCCCTCAGTCCCCTAAACTTTGCATAAAGGCTCGAGAAAAAGAAATTGAACATGTTTCCATCTAATGCTTATAGTTGCTTCAATGAATTTAAATTATTTTCTTCTGGTTTTGGTTCTCTCTATTATAATTCTAGATGCAAAATAGGGAAAGTTCATAGCTATATAAAGATGAAACTTGGTAGAAGGCTTCATTGTGTATTTAAAAAAATTTGTTTCTCTTGTGATTACTAAAGTTCTTATGTAATATCTTGAATATCTTTCTATGACAGCTCTTAAATGTTTATGTGGCCAAGCACCAGACTGGAGGAGAGTTTTGGCCTATAGTGCATAACTACACAATTTTTTCATTGGTGCTGATGCATATTATAGTAATTGGGATATTTGGGTTGAAGAAGCTTCCAGTAGCATCAGCCTCGACTCTACCCCTTCCTATTCTCACACTTCTATTCAATGAGTATTGCCAGAAACGGTTCTTTCCTATTTTCAAGGGTTATCCTGCTGAGGTACATTGGTTGACAATTCATTCTAGTTTATTTGATTTTTTTTGTTGATTATACAGCAGATTGTTCTTGTTCCAATTGTGAATTGTTTCCTTTTTCTTTTTCCCTTTATGCATTTTGATGAAACTAAGTTTCCTGCAGTGTTTGATCAAGAAGGATAGACAAGACCAAAATAACCCTAACATGTCTGAATTTTATGATAAGTTGGCCAATGCATATAATGATCCAGCTCTTATGCCAATCAAATACTCAGGAAGATTCGGTAGTCACAAGCTTCCTCTACTTCAATCCTCAGATGTTTAAAGTTGATAATTTCCTAGGCTTCACTTGTAACTAACAACGTATATAGAATCTAGCAGATGGTTTGTGATGCTGGTGTAAGGCAGCCTACCTTCAACTTCTAACTCTTTTTTTCAGTTTATATTTGATGATACTCTATATTGCATGTCCTCTTGATTTCTGCATGAGATTTGTCAGCATTTTTTTTTATATTTTATATTACATTAATTACATATTAGAGAACTCGAGCCATTTTGCAAATTGCATTCTCAGTAGCTAAATATACGCTTTAAATACATGTCACATCTCTAATAATAATACTACAATATTTATTGTATCCTTCAAAGTTATAAAATTAGTGAGTGTTAAAAATTAGTTGTTAATTATTGTCATAGTTAGAGAATTCTCTAAATAATCTCATGTACCACATACCAAATTCACCATGTCACTTGTTATATAATGGGTTCTCTTTAAAGAAAGTCTTGTAATAATATAATATAAAGGAAGCGTGTCTTTGAAAAGTTCACATAGTTATTCATCACCCTACTAATGAGATGTTTGTTTGAATTAGAATGGAGTAAAATGCAACATCTTTATCTTTTACGCATTGTTTGGAATGCAAGTAAAAAAACAAAAGGAAAAGAGAATAAAGAAAACACATTTATTGTAAATCTTTCTTTTGTTTGGTATAAAAAAAAAATTAGAGAGTGAAGAAAGAATGTTTATTGAAAATCTTTTTTTTTTTGTTTGGCTTGAAAAAAATCCCACATTAAAATTCTTTCTTTCTATTTTGGGAAGAAAATAAGAATAAAGAGAGGAATATGGTTAAAATTATAATTTTTTCCTTTGTATTTACGAGAAATAAAAATAAAAGCATTATTTTATAAAAAAATTATTTTATTTTTAATAATGAGATAAATAATTTCATTTTTAAATTTATCCTAAATTTTACCACGACTTTTTATTGATTTTATTTATTTTATATTTTATATTTTTTTACTTAAGGGTATTTATGCTAGTTTAATGTATATTCTTTTCTTTCCTCTCACTTTTTTTTTATCTCTTTTTCTTTTCTACCAAACAATTAAATAATCATCTCATTTTCTATTCTATCTTTTTTCTCACTTTCTTCCATTAACCAAACAAAGTGAAGAAAAAAAAAAGAGTATAATTAAGGGGACATTTAACACAATTAGTTGAACATAGTATATAATATAGATTGGTTGGTATTATGGGTTATTTTATATTTATATTTTGTAAAGATATAATTTTTTATCAGAGGAGTATGATCTAATTTTATTCATGATATTTTTATTTATAGAGAAAATTGTCATACAAAATCAAATATTGATATTATCTTATTCTAAAAACAAAGAAAAAAATTCTAAAATAATAAAAACAGATTAAATCTAAATATTTGAAATATAAATAAAATATTCTTATAAAAAACCAAATTATTCTCCTAAAGATATTTAGGCATATTCCCAACACTCCTTCTTGACTGAATATCTTTATCACCTAATTTAAATTTGAATTTCAAAATCTATCTTTTCTCTTTTTGATCAGTTTCTTCTTTTTTTGATTTTTATTGCAATCCTTCTTGAGTGAGACTACTTTAGCATTTGTTTCGAACTTCTCTTTTGAAGGTGATTTTTCATCATCTTCATTCTCTTCTTGATCATCAAACTTATTTTGAAGACATGCATCTTTGTGCTCTTCACTTATATTTTCATTTATAATTGGCTCCTCCTTCTCCAAATTTAAAGCAAAACTCTTGTCTTTAATATGAATATTGAACACTTCTTTGTTGTTTATATCTTTAATCACATAATTTTTATCTTCAAATAACACTTTATAGCCTTTTCCCAACAAGCAACACTCAACAAATTTTGATTAATATCAAGGACGTATAAAACATCATATATTAATTTTAAACTTGAATGACTTTTAATAACAATTGTTCCTTTGTCTTTTACTGTAAAGTGTTCTCCATTCCGCATTTGGACTTTAGAGATACCAGTTTTGTTGAGTTCTTTGAAGAGTTATCAGTCATAAGTCATATGGTTTGTACAACCACTATCAATAATTCAAGCTTTTGAAGGTTTTTTGGTCATAAAGCATGACATTGAAAGTAGTTATTCTTCTTCCTCTTCTTGTTGATTTTCAACAATGTTGGCTTCTTTTGTTGCTTGCATACATATTTTAGGTGTCCTAATTGTCCATACTTGTTACATTTTGATTCAGGTCTCCACCAACATCTCTATTGTGGTTTATTAGTCTTTTTGCAATAAGGACATGGTGGAAAAATTTGAGTGCTATTATTTTGACTGTTCTCTTGGAACAATTCCTTCTCCTTGTTTTTGTCACCATTGTTGTTCTTCCATTTGGCTAAATATACACGCTTCATAGATCCTTCTTGTCCCATAAGCCTAATTTGTTTTAATGCTTGCAATGCATGTAACACTGTTAAGTCTCATTTATACATATGTTTAGATAGGAATTATTGAACAATTTCACTCACCCCATGCACTCTTGCAATATAATTGTTCTCTTTTTGATTCAACTTTTGTGCAGATATAGCTAACCTAAAACTCACCTAACAATACCCTGATACACCTCATTTTTTGTGTAGGTATTGAGTTAAAGAGTTGAGGTTGAAGACCCATTGAATTGGAAATTGAAAGAGTTAAGGAGCAGAAGAAACATTATTGCGCCAAGCCCAGACTACCCGCGTCAGGCTTGAGAAACACAGAGAGCATCACCTCTGCACTTCAGCATTGCGCCGAGTGCAAGAGCATCCGTGTCGGGCATGATTCAAAACAGAGAGCACTCAAAACTCTCTGGAAGGCATTACGACGGGCGCATGTGCATCCGTGCCGGGCATGATTCGAGACAGAGAGTAATTACCTCTCTAAAAGACCTTGCGCGTTCGCATAACGCGTCGAGCGTGTAAACCCTATCCTATCGCCCCCAGCTTGTATTTGATCAAATCTTCGAGGCTCATTCCCTCATTCACACATTGGGCGACTTCTAGGAGATGTGGAAGGGATTCCCGGTGCTTGGGACCGTTCGTGTGTGGGTCTTTCCTTCGGTTCTTCTATCTCTCTTGCATCTCTATTTTTGTTTCACCCTCATTGTTTTTAGCGGTTTTACCTATTATTTTGTAGGGTTATGTAACCAACTTAAATCTTATGTAATCTTCACATTATCAATGATATATATATATATATATGTTGTTTCATTCATTGTTGTGTTATGTTTCTATTCTTAATGCTTGCTTTGGATTGATTTATATATATATATATATATATATATATATATATATGTTGTTTCATTTATTGTTGTGTTATGTTTCTATTCTTAATGCTTATTTTGGATTGATTCTCCTTTGCTCGATATAGAATCCATTGGGTATTGGAAAATAACCTTTGAAACTAGCTTTGAAACAAATGCCTAGTGGGAAATGTATCTAGGAATGGAGCTTGGTCCATTAGTAGTCTTAAACCCTAACCCGTAATGCAGGTGTATGTATTGGATACTCAAGGAATTGATATTCATTACCTGCACCTAGGCTCTTGCTCTAAGGGATTAGGTTTGAGTAAACTTATGGGTTAACTACGCAATGAATGTAACAAGAGAATAAAGATTCATCAGTGTGAAGTTCGGTGATATCTAACCCCACAATCTTATAAAATCACAATACCATTTCTTATCCCTTCCACACACACACACAAATTATATTACAGGTTTGAAATTCTAATAGTCATAACCTTTATTTGAATTGCATGGCAATCTATGAAAAATTGAAATTATTATTTAGTCACAAATAGTCAGTAAATGCTTATTTTACCTACTAATCCTTGTGGATACGATTTAAATTTACTACTTGAACGGCTGGGATAATTTCCGTGTTTTAGTTTGTTGGTAGAATAAAAATGATTTATAACAAAGACAGAAACTAATGTCAATGAAAATCTCAACAAACACCTCTGCTAAAGTGATCTAACTCAGATCCTTTGTATTTTCCAAAGCCGCTATTGAAGCTTCATAACTTTCAAGTATAGTTACTAGAATTTTTTCAATAATTCTAAAATCAAGAAATCGTGATCCTAGTAACCGTGCCTCATTAGCAATGCCAAGCAATTTGCTTGAGTATTGTTTGATTGTCTCAGTCTCTTTCATTCTTTATATCTTAAATTCTCTCATTAAATTTAATATTTGCATGTTTCGAATCCTTTTATCTTCAACATATTCTTCCTTTAGATAATCCCAAATTACTTTTTCCAATTTGAGAGTCATGACCCTAATGAAAACATTTTGTGAAACACATGCAAAGAGACAACATTTTACCTTTGCCTTCTTGATTTTCTTTTCGTTGTGAATTTTCATTTGGGCTATGGTAGGATTGTCTAACAACACGAAAACATCATAATCTTCTTCTACGACTTCCCAGAGATCTAAAGTTTTTAGGTATGCTTCCATTCTCACTGCCCAAAGATCATAACATTTTCCATCAAAAATAAATGGGAAAATTTATGAAAAATTTGTTTCTGCTTCCATCTCCACAAGTCGTAACCTTAGCTCTAGATAACAATGATGAGTTATTTTATATTTATATTTTGAAAAGATATAATTTTTATCAGAAGAACATGATCTAATTTTATTCACGAGGTCTCTATTTATAGAGAAAAGTTGTACGTCATACAAAATCAAATATTGATATTATCTTATTCTAAAAACAAAGAAACAAATCCTAAAATACTCGAAACATATTAAATTTAAATATTTGAAACATAAATAAAATATTCTTATAAAAAATTAATTTATTCTCCCGAAGATATTTAAGCATATTCCCAACAAATATCAAGTTTGATTCTCATAAATAAATAAAAAGAATATGATACTTTTAATTAAATAAAAATAAATAAATTTTAATTGCATTGTTTTCTTTATTATGGTTATTTTTAGAATTTGGCCCTTCCATTTTTTTTCTAACTTGGTCTCCCACTAATTTAATTGTGTAATTTTTGTTCACTTGTTAAATTAACATATAATATTTGATGGAAATGTTAAAGTAACACTTTCTTAAACCTTAAGATTAGCTCATCTATGCTCATACTTGTTTCGTCACGTTAACATTTTACTTCAATATTAGATGTCAAATTAATAGATGAATTAAAATTACACAATTAAAATAATTTTAATTGAAGGATCAAATTTGTAAAATGAGAAAATCATATTC